ACTGAGAAACGTCATTTAAAGAGGCTAAACAAGCGAAATTTTAATAAGCCAAATAAAATAAATTTAAAGAAGATTTTACTTCCTTTCTAATTGTTACGAAACTCTCGGTTGATCGTCATTAGTTTTGTATTGCATTCACATGTTTTTGATTCTTAATTTCGTGAGGTATTTGTTGGAAACTGCCAATATATAACGAAGTAAAATGGATTCCTGAATACCCTTCATCATTACATTTTCATAATGTTCCTTTTATCAACACGTAAAATCTATTCGAGAAACGATTTTTTTCACGATTTTCGATACCGTTCGGAGGGATATCATCTGGTTCTTTAAAATAACCCACAAAATCATTTTACGGAAAGCCATGAAGGTGATGGTTTGTCCGCGATTCAAAAAAGCGAAATGCTAAATTTCTTGACATCTTGAATACTTTGAACGCTTCTCTCTGCCTCCCTCTCTTAGAGAGATATATAGATATGCAGGAGTGAGTCATTTGGAATGGTAAAAGAATACATCACCGCGTTCTCCTTCATTGAATGAATAAACGATTCATATAACATTTCACTGAGAAGTGCCTAGTTTCTAAGCGATAGATCTTTTTCTACACATCGAGAGGGATGTTCTTACAATAAATGAAAGCTCTGAAGACGTTTCTAAGAATTGCCAAGGAAAAAGTCAACTTTTGGAATTGGGGAACACATGACAGCCCCGTATTGCGCCGTATTCCCCGAATTAAAACTGTCAGAACTTTAAACCTTCAGCCGGGTGTTAGAATTCCAATGAACTCGCTGTTCAGAAATGTCACGGATGACCTCCCGAGTTAACAACCGCGCTTCATGTCAAATGTGGTTAACGTTTTGGTGATATATAGGCAGCGTCGTAATATTACCAAAAGACTTTCTACTCAATGCTTTTATGGCAAAAATGGCAAAGGAATTATTTATTTCTAATATTATGGAGAACTCTCAAATATTGCAAAAATTTTTTCAGTGGTAGAAAATCAAATTAGGGATGGTTGCTATTCCAAATTATACCCCTAATAGTATATTATACAATTGTTTATAATGTTAAACTTTATTAAATGAGTCCATGTTTTTATAACAAATGACGTTAGGAGCGAGTTTTTATATTTGTACGGATGCAATGAAGCATCATTATAAACGAGTTGCATCTACTATTTTTTTATACAGCTTTATAAATATGCATTATATATTTATAAGAGAATCAAAGTTCATTTTTGGAAACAATTTAGTGGCGGATATTTGACTCTTGTGCGAAAAAACTGTGGCCAGCCACTTGGTTTACCGCTACCTTTCCACGATTCTGCCGCTGTGATAGAATGATGATGTATGATGACGCAATTAATCGTACATTAAACGACAAATCTGTGACAAATACTTCCAATTTAAGAACAATTACTCGTAAAGAAAAGTTCAGGTTATAATGCTGCAATACAAAATAATCATTTATGGTACGAGTGGTAAAAGCGACATTTTATTTTGCGAGTAGGAAATGCTGCGAACGAGGACGCTAAGCCGAATGGGGCAAATCTACGAGAAAAATAAAACCACTTTTACCGCGTGTGACATACACTATATTTTAGACAGCCTTACTGACGTTTATTATGTATTTATTTCAGTACCAAAATCGTTTAATGATACATTAAGGCTAGTAGTATCTGATGCGGTCAGATTAATTTCAGTACATGTTTTATAATTTAAAAATGATTATTTTACATACACAGTGTTGTATATACAATTTTTTAACACGCCCTGCGGGAAACGCGGTTTTCCGAGTGCGAATCAGCCAACAGTCACTGTGTGCGAAACCCCTGTAAAGATTCGCAGTTGTCTTTATTCTTGACAATCTTTTTGTTTGTATACAAACAAGAGTGTTACGACACTCTCTGGAATCCATTTACATTTGTACAAGTAAAGTATTTCCAGTTATTTGATATTTAATTGATATTCCTTTACTCGATGCATTGCGTTTCGCTCACGGCGCGATAAAAAATTGCATATGCAACACGGGCACGTGCAGATGCACTCGTCTCTTAATCGCCCTCTCTTCGCTCGGGCGACAAACTCGACTCGTGTGTGAATCACCAGTTGTGCGCCCTTGTTACGTGAATTCCTATTTTACTAGCGATTGAATTCAATTCTCGCTGCGTTTCGGCATTGCGAACGTGGAGAAGAGAGGGCCCGATCTGACGGGGCCAGGAAAGGCGGAGCGAGAGGGAGTGAGGGTGAGTAAAGCGAGGGCGAGGTGTGCGCAGACGTGAATGAGGCGGGAAGGAGCTTGACGAACGGAGTGGGGGCTGGGTTGAAGTGAATCGAGCGGAGCGGAGCGGATAGAAATATACTTCCCTTCAAGTTATTGTTAATATATACATGACCGATTAACTTCAGGAAGCTACAACTTTTTATTTGTTAAATGTTTTAATGTTATTATGACTACTTTCCTTTTTCAATAAATCCATATATCATGATTAAAATACGATGTTGGTATTTTTTTAAAATTATTTTTCACAAAAATACCTCGAATAATAAAGAGAAATTATATTATTTTGGAAATTAATTTGGGGTTGAAAAATGATTATTATGAAGTATACCCACGTTCATTATGAACAAAATGATTATCAGAATAAAATGTTTAAAACAGTTAACAAAGAGCATCAGAAGGGTGCCAATGAGCGGCTCCAAAGAAGCACACGCGGCGCTGAGAAAGAAAATGAAGGGTGAACGGCGGTGAAAATAATATTTCTTAGAATAGAAAGCGACTCGAACGTTATTTGGAATAAAGACATTTCTGTAGCTACAACTTCACCTAGTTTTTGAAGTAACAAACAAAATCAAGAAGTTCGAGTGAAAGCAAAGGGCATCAACATTAGAAAAACTAAGCACGTCATTCAATTGACCGTGATCAATATATATAATATAAGAGAGCACAAGATGCAGAAATAACTGTTGTCAAAATACGAGGCTTTTATTTAACGATTACATACAGAGACTTAAGACAATTCTGAAGCGAGAGGCGACAGAATGCCCACGGACCCCCAGTGCACCAGATAAGAAGTTTGAAAACATTTTGTTTATTCTAAATTAGATTAATTATTCCGGAATACAATTCAATTTTTTGTTTACTAAAGCAAATTTCCTCTTGAGATAAACCTACAAGACCACAGTTATTATCACGTTTATTTGGCTAAAAATAAATTTAAAATGAAAAGCTGATGTAGACTTAAATTATTCTATAAAATAGATTAGCTGAAAAAGTTAAGATGGAAAATAATTGACAACTGAGGTCTGGGAAAAATAGAACACTTCTTGTTTGGAAATTACTATTAAAGTGAAAAAATGCTACAATAATTTATCATGTGGGTTAAATATAATTCTGAATGTGAATTTCTTTATAAGGCAGATATGCAAAAATTACATTCAATTGCAGTGAAGGATGTTATAATATAATATAATTAATAAATATAATAATATAATAATATAATATCTTAAGCACAAAAGCATTTCCATACTGGCAATGTATAAATTCAATAATCAGCAGCAAAAATTCAATAATCAGGATAATTTTAGTGTTAAGATTAGATGGAAAAGTAAATGATTAATACAGCAGAAAACATTATTTTGTGAGCGTAGTCTTTTTAGCAATTTGGTATACATTTTTAAATATTAAAACAATGACTATATATTAATGAACTACAAAGCTTTTTGCGATAAAACTACAAACGTTAGGTTAACATAAGACATTTAATATTAAATTCGTCATATGAGGAAGGAGATATTTTGAAAGGGAAATTTGAATATTTTGGAATGTTGTTATGCTTTTCAACTGCCCTTTACTTAGCACTTGGATCCATTAGTGAAACGTGTCGCTGCAAATCCTTCTCTTATGGACTTCAAAGGTCTACTGAGAGGTAACATCGGTGTTTGCCAGAGAAAGTTATAAAATATCCAGCACCAATTTGACGCAAAGTTTAATTTTTACTTATTATAAAATCAGTTATTTTTAAAACTTTGAAGTTTAGGAAATAACGTCATTGAAATAATGTATACTTATTACCTCTATATAAAGTGAATGAGAAGACTAACTTTAAACTTTTACTCATTATCTAGGCGTACACGTTATGCGACTAAGAATTTTCACTTGAAAATATGGGAAATTAGCAGTTTCTTTTTCAACTTATCGCATTCTTTTATAAATTTCAAATCTCTCTGAAGAGGACTCCAGCGGCCGACATGCCACGCACCAACCACCCTCCGCTCGCCCGCCCGCCCGCCAGCCAGCGAGCGGCAGTCGCCAATCAGCGCCAGCGCCCCCGCCCCCGCCCCCGCGGCCGGCGCAACTACGCGTAACAGGGGCCACAACAACAGCCCGCGCCAGACGCTCAGCCCCTCGGTCGCGTGGGCGCGCCCGCCCCCGCCCCCGCCCCCCTGGCGACGGGGCACCTCTCGCCGCAGGAATGTTAATTGAAAGCGTCGCCGACGAGATATCATCGCTGGCGGGCTAAATCATCGTTTTGCAACCCTCCTACTTGGCCCAGAAACAAACTTTTTCAAGAGAAAAATAAAATTGACTCGCGTCGAAAAGAATGACACACATAAAGCAGCATGTCTACATCATTTTTATCTCACTCTAGGAATATGTGTGATCCCAGCACATGCAACCCGGCACATACTACATCACATGCTCAGACATTTGTCATGCAAAGAACCTCCCACATCTGCATAGCACTCCACTCCACTCATTAATTAAGGTTTTTCTTAATAGACTTTAATGTAGAAAATAATGTTTTTTTAAAACTTACCCATTAGTACACGTTTCCGTAGCAACTAAAAATGCCATTGCAATAAGAAGTCGCAATATTCTTTCCTCAGAAGATTTTTTCACCATTCTTGTACCAATTTCACAGTCTTCCACCTTATTAAGGTCGGAATGGAAAGTATTTCACGTCACATGATATATATAAATGGAGATTTCCCGTGCGCTCATTGAGGTGTGCATTCGCGGCTCTCGCGAGTGGGCAGGCCGCGCGTCCGCACTGGCGTCCGCGGCTCAGCAGCGCGGCGGGCGCCCCACTTCCGCTAAAAGCCGCGTTTTCATCTTGGGGAAGACGGGCAAGTTAGAGTTTGCTCTGGAATAGAGACACAGATACGTCGGCTCGGTTTTTGGCACTGAGACGCGGGGAGGAGGGGCGGGCGGGCGAGC